TGCATGTTTGTTGGTGGACAAATTTAAGCTGCATATGCAAAAATGTATCAAAGACAATGTTCGAGAATTAGGTATATTGGCAAGCATCCCAAAAATTCATGATAAATAGTATTAAATACGTGAACTTAGTTTAGTAAACAGCGTAATGATTTGAAAGTAGTAAATGGGCGCACTATTTCGTATCACTATTTTATCAAATTTCTCATAAAATAATGGTTGGATTTTTAATATCTTTGCAGCTTTTATAAGTACACACCGTATTAGTAGGAGTAACGGGGTCGCTGTAAAACTTATAGTAAAAAAGCGTAAGAAATTCTTACGGAAATCAGCTTGTGGCAGTGGTAGAATTTAGACTGGTTCCCGGCCCCATTGGTTCTGCCTGCCGGCGCATGGGGACCGGTACGCTACAATAAACTGGTCAGAATTCCGACCAGTTTTGTGTGACGTCAGGGCCGGAACAGAGCCTCGATGTGATATTCAAACAGCGAGCTGGACAGTTAATGTCGGCAAGTACACCCCGTAAATTTCGTGATAAAATCTGTGTTGTACGCAAACGACACAAGAAAAGTTCATTCCGCAGTCTAAAGAAGCAACTGGCAGCACAACTTGTATCATGTCTCACTGGATCTGGTGTAAACAAACGTTCTAAAAGCAAAGCCTCTATATAAGCTGGCCGTTGATTGGCCCAACCCGCACCACCACAGACCAACAGCGGCCAGGGACTCATCATGTCTTACCGGTCTACTAGCATGAACCAAGGAGCTACATATAACAAGGAGAGGAAGCGCCGCCATATCTGGCCCAATTATTTGCCATATTTGGTCATATTGGTCCAGAACAGATTAGTGTTCTATTGTCTCTGGGGGGCGGATCTGCAGAGCCGTTTCAGCTGATTATGGTCCATAGATGGCGTCGTTGAGGCGAAAAGCAGACAGCCAACCCGCTTCCTCTCCTTGTTATATGTAGCTCCTTGGCATGAACGAGCTTTTGGGAGTGGCGTAGTGGGCCGGGTACCAGTCTATGGTAGAATTGAGCCAGAGCGAGAGCGCCATCTGTCGTGGAGTTTGTTGAAACGCTTCAAGTGCCTGTGCCTCCAAGGGCCTGTGCTGTGATTGACAGATTGTGAACACATTGCCAATGTCATTACATTTCTAATGACTTGCCCAAACATTGTTTATCCTAATATTAATAATAATTTATCTAATTTAATTATTAGAATCGTCAAATTTCTTAACCAAGAGACGAAACACCACATTTAAATTAGGCCTATAGTTTATTTTTACAAACATGTAGGCCCCTAACAAGTTCCAAGTTTTGCCCAGTTGGCAGATTTAACTCATAATAACTGATTAGTTCACTGATTCTAGATTTAAGATTAGTTCCCTAAACTGCAGATGTGTTGAAATTCCTCATTCATCATTTCATGCACGATTCCAAGTTGTGAACACAACAACACATCTTTTTCAAATGAGTGTGGTATCCTAAGCTAGCACATAATTTCTATGTAATGTGCTATCCTCTTTCTCTCTTAATTTATTAAAAATTATAGGCCTACAATCTATGTACATGTAGGCTGCATTATTGCAGCTTAGCTGATGACAATGGTAGAGGAGGGATCACAGCCACTGAAACTTTTCTCTGACTCACAACAGCCTGTTGATTGCATTAGGTGAGATTTAGCTTTCTAGACGTACTAATTAGGAATTTGCTGTGAAAGATGAGCATACACCTCATTACGAGATGGTGCCTTTATTATACTTGTTATTATAAATTTTATAGCCAACCAGTACAATTATAAAGTCTACTCAGTGCAGTATGTTTTATTTACTAGTGTATGCACATAGTTGAGAAGAAATGTAGTTAATCAAGTAAACTTACATACTAAGGAGTGAGTATTGTTGACATTCCAGATTTGGAAACACTTACTTTGGCACAGATACAGTAAAGAGTGTAGTGCTTTGCAATGCCAGTTCCACGGTACAGAGTTTTGTCATTTCCCTGGAGGAGAGTGGACCAGGCCAGCTACTGGTGAGATACTTTGCAGTCAGTAGCTTTACCATACTTTGCAGTCGGTAGCTTTACCATACTTTGCAGTCGGTAGCTTTACGATACTTTGCAGTCAGTAGCTTTACCATACTTTGCAGTCAGTAGCTTTACCATACTTTGCAGTCAGTAGCTTTACCATACTTTGCAGTCAGTAGCTTTACCATACTTTGCAGTCAGTAGCTTTACGATACTTTGCAGTACAGTACATACCTTTATCCGTGTAATAGGCGACGACCTGAGTGCTAACCACTGAAGCCTTGCTAGAACGGAGGCCGCCACCTGGTGGTGGGAAGGCGAACTTTAGACGCTGCAGTCGCTTGTGGACGATACGACCGAGTTGAAAGGCTGTCTCCAATCCAACAGGAGAAAGATCACGGTCCTAAGCTTCTGCTTCCACCCACGAGGCTATACGCGCCGCTCTCTGAATCTATATTAACCAAGCGAGTAGTGATGAAATGCTTCACGCACAGCACTGAGCAGCTAGTGCTGCGGGCCTGAGAGAAAATCAGCCAAGTATATCAGCAGTATCGACTATCGGGCTGCGTGTGGAGGTGTCCGTGTGCTGCGGTTGTCTGGCGGTCCCCCCCCCCCCCCACCTCCCCCCCCCCCCCCACCCCCGTCTTGCATTTTTGTGATGTGGTGAGCTCTGAACGTGTGAATTTTCAAGGAATGGCACCTCGAAGCATGGTTTTAAGAGTCGTAGCAAAGATGCTGCGAGAAGGACTACGTGCTGTTTTGGCCCGCGTGAACCTCATATGGAAGCGATCATGCACCGCGGAGGCAAAGAGTTCATCACTTAATGAACCAAACCACATTAAAATTGTTTAAAAAATATGTCACATTTTCAAGGCATGTTCAGTTGTGACAACGCTGCCATCCTGAACTAAACAGGTTGGGGTTTAATTCTGGCTGCATAACATTTTAAGTATGCGATCACGCAGGTGGCTGCTGGGAGTGTGTTTGACATGGAACACGCTGCCATACTCGTCCTCCTCTCGTATGCAAAGCTACAGTTTGGCAGCGTGTGACATGTCAGAAAAGGTTAGCGCGACTTGCTCACTGAAGGAATGAATCGCCTCATCTTCCAGTAAAAATTTAGCTAAGTATCTATCGCTGACTGAAAAGACGAGCCCCGCCCGGGTCTCTTGAATGATCCGTCATTTTGATGAATTTAATCAACGTCAGTCGACTCGTCGTTTTGTTTCGTCATTATTGAAAACTTTGATACTTTTTAGGTTTTGGCAAAATGCTCACTTCCACCTTTGAGCCGAGCAGGGGAAGAGTCGAGCTGT